CTTTGAAGGGGACATTTAAAAAAAAAAAAAAAGAATTGAAAAAAAAAAAAAAAAAAAGAATCGACAGGCGGCTTGTTTAATCGTCGTGTAGTCGACAAAGACAGCGATATGGGTTCCTTTAAAAGTGTCAGTGAGCTTCCGGGACAACAGATACGCACAACGGACGTCGAACAACACACGGATAGAAATAACTCACGAACACTTGATCATCCATAATACAACACACACACATTTGCATGACGTTCGTCCGAACGGTCAAGCAGATTTGGATATTTGTGTTGGTACAAAAAAAAAGGGTATAACAAAAATATCTCGCGTGGTCGTCTCTTGCACCGCCTCCAACTTGACCACCGTCTGCTTTCAGTCAAACTAGTTGTCGTATGTACAGAAGAGAAAGGCAGTTATCTGGCCACACCGTCTGTAAAGAATATTTACTGCAATGAGGTAAAAACAGTCGATAAATCAACATGAAGCACTCAAAAACGCGGGCCCGTAATGAGACAAAGCAACAATAAACTGCGAGGTGATTATTTTTGACAGTAGTTGTAAAATCAAACAAAAAAAAAGGTGCCCTCCTTCAAAGTATGAGTATGGTAATTGGGCGGTTTCATCCGCTCGCCGTCAATCACGTGTGATGGACCCGAGCGGGTGACGTCACAGGTCTCCAGCCATGCTAATGCTAAATGCTAATGCTGGGGGGCCCTGATTTTATAAATAACATGCAGCAGAGGGAGGTGTGGGTCACGGACACTAAAAGAACATTTATTGACTTTTTTTTTTTAATTTGAAGAGCAGGACGACACCGCCAATACGCGATGAAAAATCATCTCGGCAAAATAAGAATTTAAAATGAGTTCTGCAACTATTTGGTGGTGTTAATTACCAGTGTGAACGGATCATGGTGTCATTTTTTTGGGACCATTTCCAATTAAATTGCTCTTAAAAATGGGTCTCGCTTGTTTCGGGCTGCCCATAGACTTTATTTTTTCAACGTCCTTTATATCCACGTACTAGTACAGTCTATGTTCTCACTCAGTGGACAATTTTGGCATACTCGTAGAAAGATCACCCCCCCCCCCATACTAGTGTCACTTTTGGCCTACTAGGACACAATTAAACTTTTCTAATCACCAACAGTGCTAAACTAGGCTACTAGTAGTTTCCTCGAGGTTTGATTGCATGTCCAAGCCGGTTCGTTGGATACCTGCAAGGTCACCAGCTCGCCGCGTCCATTTGCTCAACTTGGGCTTGCTCAACTTGGGCGATCTGAGGATACACAATAAATACCTTGCTCGTGGAAGGAGAAAAAAAAAAAACATCCCAGATAAGAATTTGCATAAAGGAATACCACACGGAGATGTAAGACACTCACGCATCAGCGACACTCAAACACACACACAGCGAGGAAGTCATTCATGTCCTTCGATCCTCCTCATTCCAGTGAAGACGTTTTATGCGCGGTATCGACTCGACATCGAGGCTTGGTCATTTGGAGAGCACCACCCGACCCCCCCCCGCCCCAAGCCATGAAGGCTGGGAACGCTCGAGCTGCAGTATTTTCCGGGGGGGAATGCCTCATTTTCAACAAGATTAACTTCGGAAACAAACACGTGTACAAACTGCGAAGCTGAGGCGGCCTCTTGGTGATGGGAATGCTCTTTGATGACGGCAAATTGGAGACGGAGCTGCACAAGGTATTTCGGTGCAAAACTTGAAAGGTTGCGGCCTTTTGCTTGGCATTTGGCCTGGAAGTAAAAACGGTATTTTGGTTTGTTTAAATACCACGAACCAAAGCCAGGTACGTTCCAGCCAATCACATCGTCCGGTTTGTGAGGAGGGCAGGACAGCTGCGCGAAGATTACACATCCTTTGGACTCCCAATTTTAGTTTGCCTACATTGTCACTGGTGTCCACGCAATCTCCTTGAGCTTGGCATTGTCTCTGACTTGGTCAAACGTGTACGTCTGCACAATCTTGCCGTTCTGGAAGACGGTGTGCAACAGGTCCTGGTCGGGGAGGAAAGCGGAAGAGGGAGAAGAACATCGAGAATCAACAGTGACGGACCCCCCGCCCCCATTACTGTTATTGAACCGTTTGCCAAATGAACTCACCGCTCCGTATTCCTCCAGGTCACCTTTGCCTTCTTCGAGGGTGACAAACTCCCCACTTTGAGTCCGGTGCAGAGACAGGCGTCCTTTCTTTGACCTCTTGTTGGGGTCCGCCACGGGGTCCTTGAACACGTTCACCTGGTAGGAGGCCAGCTCAGTTCATCTCAAGATCATACTCCAAAGTAAGAAAGTACACAAACATGAAAACGACGGCTAAAAAAAAAAAAGTCGCGATTGGTGGGGCTGCGCCTCACCCCGAGTCCGTTCGTGACCACGTAGCTGCATTTGAAGGAGCAGTTGAGCAGATCTCGGGTCAGTTTCTGCAGCAGAGCGCCGCCGGAGCCAAAGGAGACGTTTTCGATGGACCACCGGTGCTCCTTCATCCCCTCCACGATCTGTGAGGAACAAAAAAAAACAAAGTGAAGAAAGGCAACGGGCGCATTCAGAAGGAGCTTGTTTTCCCGAGTACCTCCTGTAGTGTGTTGATGTCCACTCCGTCTCCTTGAATGACTCGGATGTACGGAGGCAGCACCTTGAATCCTTTGGCGTTCTCCTCCGCCGGGAACTTCTTACCCAGGATCTCCAAAACCTGACACGGGTTCATCCAAAAATCAAACACAAAATGGCCACAAAAAACAAAACAAAAACAAACCAAAAAAACAAAAAAAAAAACAAACTAAAACTAATACTCCGTATTCCGCCGAGCGCACCTTCAGCACCGTATCGAGGGGGTTCCCCGAGTCGGGCCGCACGACGAGCGGCGCGTCGGCGCTGCGCGACTCGATGAGCCCGCGCAGGTCCTCGCCCCAGATCTTCTCGCAGGCGTTGTAGATGTCGTAGCTGTCGCTGACGATGGAGACGGGCACGCTGGGGAACTGCTTGATGATGTGCTCGAAGGCGTCCTTCTCGTGGTCTTTGCCCCACGCAGTGATGGTGCTGGGACGAGAGACAAAGGCACGGGTCCTGTTTTAACCCTTACGTGTGTAAATTATGAGAACCTGACAAGATGTCCACTGTGGTAACCACTCGTCCCTGAAAGGGTGAAACGATTTCGCGATTCAATTTTTCTATTCCATAAGCTAAAGGTGTTCATTTTTTTTTCCTCGTATAAACACTGCATTCCCCAAAACACATCAACCATTAGTTATTCTTGACGGTGGAACGGACCCCTTGCTAAGGTAAACAGTTGAGTGTGTCCTCCTATACCGGTTACTATGGCAACAACGCGGCCATCCGATGAAGGATGAATCGAAGCGGCAGTAACTGCCCCTGATGGCGAGGAGGCAACGATTGTGTGTGTGCGCGCGACAAACGGCCCGGCGCCATGAAACAAAAGCAAGTGCACACATGTGGGTAGGGCGGGGGGGACGGCCAATCGCAATCTTCCTGCCGCTAGCCAATCACGGCGCGGGGACCCAAACGAGCCCCCCGACACGCAGCAGATGTCTCTGGGTGGATTTTGGACGAGGGCTGAGAAATTTCATCGAACGGCAGAGACGCTTTGCTGTTGAGAAGATTGGTGGTCATGATAATACTTTCATAACGCCACTTGCACGCAGTTGTTCGAATACAAATGTGAATTACAGATAACCCTTTTTTGTCACGGCGGATACACCACAAAGCAACCCGTAATGGGTGAAAAATCCACAAACAAGAGGATCATTTGAAAAACATTTTTTTAAAAATAGACTGACCCCTCCAGCATGCTTTAAAACCCTGTTTGAAAATATTCTCGAGCGGCCGTTCTTGCTCACTGTCAAAAAAATGGAAGACTCAGATAACATCACGTCGGGAAAAGGAAAAGAAGACGCTCACTAACGCAGCTGAAAATTTTCATGTCAAACTGGAACGAGAGAATTGGGTTGAAAGTGTGGCTGCTCAACCAAAGCAATGAATGTCATCTGATGAAAGCTCAATAGCTAGCTTGACGCTAACATATAAAGCGAAACATCATAGACATGCTAACGGAGATTAGCGCTGATGTGATGGGTGTAAACTAAAAACTGTGATATTGCGGGGGAAACCGTGTGTGTGTGTGTGTGTGTGTGTGTGTGTGTGTGTGTGTGTGTATACCTATGTTCTGCAGCAGGTACAGAGAACCCTGGCACCGGGTCCTTGGTTCCATAGTACTTCTTAATCACACCGATGCCAGCGACTGTGTCCGTGCCCTTGAAGTTGACCAGGTGAGCAGAGGCGCCGATGCCCGCAGTCTGTAAAAAAAACCAAAAAAAAAAAAACACACAAGATATTATATATTTAGAAAGAAAAAAAAAAAGATGAATACACTCCGATATGATAAAATTTTCTTCAGGACCTCTTGCGACGAGACGCCACGGTAGCCAAAGTCGTGCAATTTGTACTCGAGCCCTTCCAAGTTCCCGGACGTGTCCAGAAGATACTTGGCCAGGATCTTCTTCTGCTCCCTGGAGTTGGTCGCCACGGTGATGGGGTACCAGATCTGCACTAGGATGGTCTGGAGGGGGTGGGGGGGAAAAGAGTCACTGGCGCGCTGAGTAGTCAACCGGAGCTAAAACCGAAAGCCAACAGGCTGGCTGAAAAGTGGGTAACACATTCCGTGATGTTCCCAAAACACATTCCGGGCCAAGAGGAGTGTGAAGACAGGCGGCTTCACTGAAATGACGCAGCGCACGGTGTGTGGTGAAGGTCGCCTCAACTATGTATGCGCGTGTGTGTCGTCATCCAAGGCTATGCTATTATCTCTGCGCGGCAGGTTGTTTGGAATACTTGGCCTTTGCTTGTCTGTTTGCGGGGATTACGCAAGAAGAAAAACCAAAAAGGCGACGGACACGCGCGCGCATGCACGTGACTCCATGGCCACGCCTCCTTACGCACACACACAAGGTCATCCAGCATGCGTCGCAGACTGACCTTGACTTTTGGCGAACGTAATAAAACTGTGGTCAACGGTGGTACCGTGAAATGAGGCAGTCGAGCCGCTGGGTTGTAAATGAGAGCAGAGTGGGTAAGAAAGCGGAATGCGGCGTCTAATGACATCATCGCGTGTGTGTGCTGATGAAAGTCTTTCTACTAGCTGTGGGGATTCGAGCGGGTGCGTGCGACGGCGCCCAAACAAATACGACACCGATCACGCGGGAAGAATCAGATGAAGCGGTGCGATGACAGCGGATAAAACTTGGGAGTTTTGTTCATTCAAAATATGATTTCAAATATGCGTATTGAACATTTGACAGATTTTTTTTTTTTAAACAACTGAGTGCCGTCCTCACATTTAGGGGGCGTCCATTTTGTTTTCTTCTTCACAGTAAACAATCAATTTCCACTGCTGTTGTCCAGCAAATAACTTCAATTAATGGAGAATAACTCCGGTCTTGTCTACACTTAAAAAAAAAAAAAAAAACTCCACGCCTTGCACGAAAACACTCGATGAGCCGCAAATTTCGGAAAAACAGTTCCCTCATTTGACTCACCTCCACCCAATTGGTGAGCCAGTAGCATTCGGGATCCGTGCTCTCCACCGTGAACAGGACGTTGCCCCGGGGGATGACGCTCCCCTCCGGGACCGCCTTGATTTCAATCGGCAGGTGGCCGTTGTATTTCTGGGAGGGAGGGAAAAAAAAAGGGGCCAAACATCATCACACTTTCTCCCGGGTGCTAAAACGTCCACCAGATGTTGAGTTTCTGACCTCCAAAATGTACGTCCACCCTTTCTCGTTAAAAACGTCATCCTGGAAGTGTTCCCGGTACACCTCCTTGGCTTCCTGGATCTTCTCCGGAGTGACTACCTTTCCTGGACACGAGAAGGAGAGTGAAGTGAGGGGGGGGGGAGAAAAAAACAAAAAAAAAGAAACCCAAGGGGCAAGAATGCTATTTTACTGTCCACGCTTGTAATCCAATTAGAAGCATCCCACGCGCAGCGACAGGGCGTCTTTGTCCTCTCAACTCACACTCACTTCTTGATATTCTGTATTTCTCGCCTCAGGTCCCCCCAAACGGCAGAAAGATCCCATTTTGAAAAAAAATTCCCCTAGAAACCGGAACTCACTGAGGCACCGGATGGGAGAATGGATCACTTCTGCGACTCGCGGGAGAAGATGAGTGACTGCCAAAATTGAAATCGAACCAAATTTTCCTGTGCTACTGACAGACAATTTCACAAATTTTGAATTGAAATATTTTTTATAATTAAAATTAAAATGACCTATTCTTAATTTTAGTAACATTTTCTCTTTTTTTTTCTTCAGTGTAGCCTGAGAAATACGTTTGGACGATTTTTGCTCGCCCAAGCGTTGCTTGTAAAAAAAAAAAAAAATGATAATATTAGAAAATATATATTAATAGTAAAAATAATAACACTCATAATAATAAGATTTGCTTTTTATTTTTTTCTATGACAGGTCCATCGAATGGCTGAGTACAATCTGGAAACGGCGGCCATTTTGCAGATTATTTTGGCAGATGTTTCAAAGGTCGTCATCGGCCCAAATATTAGCCTACAACCATAATTTTTTTTTTCAAACTTCCGGTCACAATATCAATTAAAAATACCAAGACGCTTGCGAAAAATGTTTTTTAGTTTTGTGTCTGTGTAGATTCTCAAGTCATCCCGCGGACAAAATTTTCCCGCAAAAAAACGTCTTGAGCAACAATGAGGCTAATGACACGGATGGTGTCGTTCTGAAGAGTCTTCGTCACTACACTACACTCCGGTTTGAATTGTTGTGGGATCAAGGATGCAAATGGAGAAAGGTGAATCATTAAGCCTGCTGAGGAGGAGGAAGGGGGGGTAGGTGGGGGGGGGGGTCATTGCTGGGGCCGGTCATCCTCTCGCATTGGCTGAAAGAGCAGCTGTGTTTTTGTGTTGCTTGCTTGCTTCCCCCACCCCCTGCGGCACCTCTGCCGCCACACCATGAAATCCTCTTAGGACGCAGTGGACTGCTATTTTTTTCTTTCTTTTAACCCCTGAAAGTGGTGAAAACTACTTTTTCGCTCTACGTTAGCATTAGTCGCATTCAACGTACGACGCAGGAGAGACCAGACTTACCTTTGAGGTATTTGTGGAGGATGTACTGAAGGCCGTAGAAGACGGTTTTGTCATATTTGACTTTTCGGCTTTTGCCGGGGTCCGTCCTCTTCTCGCGGCACTCAAAGTAAGAGTACACTTTGCTCGTGTTGGGCGGGTATTGTTTGTAATGCGTTACCTGTAGATGGAGAACACAGTCAAACGTGTCACAAGTGTCGCAATGGAGGAGCGCTCACCGCATAGAGACTGTCGATAAAGATTCTGAAATGAACTTTGGGTGACCCTTCAGCCACAAATTCATCTGACTAATGTAGTAAAGCGTGCGTTATCTTCAAATTGCACAAGTGAGAGATGAATGATTGCAACAGCAAAAGTACTCGAGTGTTGCCTTTATTTTTCAGCTTCTGGAAAAACTACTTGGACACGCACTTAGTTAAGGGAATCTGTTGGTTTTTTTTTGGGGGGGTGGGAAAGGTTGTTACGTCAGTGGTGTAAAACTACAGTACGATGTAACGGGTCAGACTTTGTCCAACGGAGGCATGCCTGGGCAGAGTTCCTCAAACAGGAAGTGGTGATGCTAACAAAATAAGAAATAATCCGGCGTCCACATTGGTCCTCCATGACATCATGCTGATTTAGATCCATTTATCCACCATGGCAGGGAAAAGGAGTGTAATGAATTAAAAGCCGAACAGAATGTCCTCACTGATAAAACTGGACTTGAAAAGACTGTCACGTTATTTAATTTAGGCTGAGAACGGTCAGAGGGGGGGAAAAAAAACAACGAGGTAAAGATAAATGTCAACGACCAACTCAGTTTATTTGACCCCCGGTCAGTGTCCTTTCAAGGACTCAAAATAGAGTCAAGACATTCACTGGAGGACGTGTAGCTGCGCACATACACTCACACGCTCCGCAACAACTCTCCAGCTTTATCTCGGGCTCGTCGCAACACCACTGCACGCAGACTTTAAACGCAGCTTTAGAAGGTAACCTGATCGGGCCAAACTAGATAAAAATAATGAGATAAAGGTTACTTCGAGGCTTGTCCGAACTGTCTTGGAGGCCTGTAATGAGTTGCAGCAAAAGAAAGAAAGGCACCCCTGACATTCACCGATCTGCCGTCACTTGCCACTGTAGCAACCAAATCAAAACATGAGGGACTTCTCTTTTTCATGAAAAGAATGAACAACTATTAAATGAAACCACGGCAGACATTTTAGAAAGACACATCCAAGGAACATGAAACCTGATCACTGGCATAAACCTTCTATGACTTCTTGGTAGGATTAAAGATGAACAACTACTTCCTGCCTAAAACGAACGACGGTGTTCTTCTCAGCCAGGAACTGTCAGATGCTCAGGGCATTGTAAACAACCTCGTCTCTTCTCACGCATTGACAAAAAGCAAACGCTGCAGGATCCCTTTGGAAATGAAAAACTGGTCTCCAAAATAGAAAGGGGGGGGGGGGTGACTCGTAGTTTGGGTTTGAAATCTCGTTTTTTGTGACACCTGTCCGACAAACTTCTCTGAGATACATTAACTACGAGATGCTGCTTTTGAACTTAGAATTGTATTCACAAACAACTCATTAAGTTAACGTACAAATAATTGGAGAGAAAAAAAAGTTACATCACACAAATAATGACGGTGGCGGTGCAGTCACGTGACCGCGGGACATGGCAACGAGCCTGACGCTCGTCCATGCGATAAGCATAAAGACAAAATATTCCCCCCCCCCTTATATTTGCCTTAGCTTTGGTCGGCGATTATATATACAGTAATAAAATGTATGACTTTCGAAAAAAACTGGAAAACATTCCGATGAATGGCGCTACTTGGCACACAAAGTCGCTGCGGGGCGAAGGTCATTTCCACTTCAACTTTTCGTTTGCCCCCCCAAGTTTAAATGTCCACTCACCTCGGTCTATTTGTTCTAATACCATCGTAATAATAAGACCTTCTGATTTACTTTTCCCGCGGAGGTGCGCAGTGGAATACCCACGGGGCGCTTGCTAGCTCGATGCTAACTAATGTTAGCTTGTTTATAGCCACCTTCCCCATTGCTTTGCAAGTAACCTAGCACGTTAGCTCATTCGGATAGCGAAGCTAGCCGAGCACCGTCCGGTGCGACTGGGAGGGAATTGAGAGCCGACAGGGAGATGCTTTGTTTCAGTCGCCCCCACCCCCTTCGCATCCTCCGCTCGACTCGGCCCGGTGTCGACCACCTCAGTGCGGTGGCCTTGGGGCTGATGGTGGAGCCACCTTGACTGAATGCGTTTCCATCCATCCATCCATCAGCCCTCACGCCCCCACCCCCCTCATCCCATCTAAGGGCGACCCCATCCCGGGGACGGTACCTTGTAGGAGTCGGTGGCGAGCAGGATGTTGAAGTCGGCGTCCCGGTGCTCCATCTTTGCCCCCCTCTTCGAGTCAGTCGCAGCTGTCAGTGGGTTGCGCCGTGCCGCTGCTGGGGACTCCTAACTGATAACGTAGCTGGGCGAAAGGGGGAGGAGGCGGAGGACCGAGCAGACCACGGGACGGGGGGGGTTCAGAACAAGGGGGAGGGGGGGAGGGAAACGGGTGGTCGCTCTCAAAAATTCCGAACTGGCTCGGCTGCACTCGGTTCTGCCCGGCAACGTCGCGACGCGAGCCAACGAGGAAGCGCGCAGTCCCCGAAGAACGTAAAATGAGTGAGGAGGACTCGTTCTGCAAACAAGAAGCGGCATTGGCATACAATGGCAAACGATGGACCCCCGCACATTCGCTGTTCGGCACCCGCAGAATCAGCTATTCGAGAATTTTAGTTCATGACAAAAAAATACCAAAGTGAGAACCCTCTGACTCAATTTACTGTGATTGTCTTCGCTGGCCTTGTCCCAGGAGGTGCTGGAGTTGGCTTTCTCTGTCCTTTATGATCCGGATGAGACTCTCAACTTTGTTGCGCCCAACAAGTATGAGGTAGGCTGACATGAGAACATCAGTGTTTTTGTACCATTGTGTTCCGTACGGAATTAAAGCTTCTTTAAATTGATTTTTTTTTCTCTACTCGGTGAAAACAAATCAGTCTCGAAAAAATATAATAACGTTATTTCTATTTCACATTTTCATGAAAAAAAAAAAAAAAAAAAAAAAAAAACGAACTTCATTCTTACCAACACGCTTATCGAGCGTTTCTCCCCGACTCATTGGTGCAAGTTACCGTGCACCACACTGTGGCATTTTCGCCACAGAGACAGAAAATAACATGAAAACGTCGCAGGGAACTACAGTAATTAAAGTTAGGTGTGATGAGTGAAAAGAACGCAAGACGGCCGCTTACAATTTCAAACTTAGGACAAAATGAATGCGAGTTGGTGCTCCTCTCACTTGAACGCCCCTCCTAAAAGGTGACGTAACACATGCAAGTCTATTTAATGTCCAGGAGAGGGCAGTGTTGTCTACATTTATAATCACCCCCGTCTAAAGGCCAATCAAAGACAAAAATAAGAACATACATCATTAACGGGGAAACTTTGATATCAAATCTGCTAGATCATGCTGCATTTGCTTGTCAACTTAATTCTTGCACACTAACAAACTTTTGAAGCCATATTTTAAATACATTCCAGAGTGGCTCACAGTAGTGTGCCTTATTATCGCGCCCCATGCGTGCACGCGTAACAAATGAATGTGACACGCTCTTGTGAGCTCTGGATGGTTGGTGGGCTGGTGGTGAGAGATTCCAGCCCGGCTAGAGTGATGCCTCCCTCGGCCTATGGCAGCGCAACAAAGGCGGGGAGGAGTTGCGACGGTGTGGTAACTTTCCGAGATGACTGAGGACAAAGTTAACGCTCGGCGAGCTTTTTACAAGAAAGGAAACAAGTGAACGTCGGTCATGTGATGCCCCACCCGGAAAGACTGCAGAGAACTGCAGGGAAGCGACCGCACTGTAAAGTCCTTGGAACCGATTGTGCTCTTATGTTAAAACTGCAGCCCAAGTTTGATCTGCGCAGAGATGTGGAAGCTGACATTCGCACGAAGGAAGCGGCGGTGTGCAGGGTGAAAGGTGAGGCGTTCACGTGCTGTCGGTCAGACGGACGATGGAACGTACGCTTTTGTTTTGGCTGCCATTTCGCAATGGCTTGTGTGGATTTGCTTTTTAAGAAGCTTAAGCGCTCTTTTTGACAGGTTGACGTCTGAAAAGCGTGCAGCTCCATTAACTCAAGAGTCTTAACTATTATACGGGATGTAATAAGCATAATTCAAAGATATGCCAAGGTGCACTTCTGTTGTTTACCTAATGGTGCTGTGTCTGCAGACTACTCTGGAGCGCTGGACATTTCAATCCTCAACACTGAGAGAGATGGGGGCATCCTTTACTCCTGGGAGGTTATTATTACTGTGGCTGAGTGTGCAACTTTCTGTCAAAAAAAAAAATACAATAAAATCTTCATGCTTCCAACTATACTTTTTGGACGTCTGGCCTTAATGTTCAACCTGACTGACCCAAAACAAAATCTGCCAAATACAAGTGGGGAAATGGTTTGATGAAACCAAGGTTGAAATTTAGGGCAGGTTTTCGCTTTTATATATTTTTATATTGATATTAAAAAAAAAAATGTTGGAGGAAAAGGCTGCTTAGCGTTGGATATCAATCATTGTGTGTGTCTGTGTATGCCACGCATCATCAAATGGACTCAAAAATCAAAGCGCATAAAGCGCACGTTCCCTCCCGATGATTCCACTCTGAAAAAAACTATTTGGGGATTCCGGGAAAAAAAAACAAAACTTTTAAACCCTCAGTGAATAGACTCGTGTTCTGAAAGCGCTCGGCGCGGCATACATTTTTAATGACACATCCGCCAAACAGATTTTAGAGGTCAGAGATGGCCCTGCAAAGAAGTTCCTTTTTTTTTTTTTAAAAAGTAGGCACACTTTTTCTTATTGGCTGTTCAGTACTCGAATCAATTCGGTGTTGCAATCGTCTCTCTCTGCGCAGGGATCAACTGGAACCACCAGAGTGGGGAAATACGACGGGAATACTAAGACGAATAAGGTACGAGCTTCACGTCAAATCTCAGTTCAATGCATTGACACCCGCACCTGTGCGCGCGCGTGTGTTTTCTCGCCAACAGCTCCTGTACTCCTTTGACAAGCAGGTTTGTGTCAGCAGCTGCTCCCTAAACAAGGAGGAGACATTGTTAGGTGAGTCCGATACCGAAGAAATCTACAATGTGATGATACTGACAAATTAACTCATTCACTCCCAAAGACGTTTTTAAACGTCTTTTCAGACTTGGTCCAGAATTGGCTGGTACTTAAACGGACGTGCATTTTATTTTTTTTTCCCTCTCTTAGCTGTTAGCTTGGCACAAAACACCCACCCAGAATTGGCTGGTACTTAAACGGACGTGCATTTTTTTTTTCCTCTCTTAGCTGTTAGCTTGGCGCAAAACACCCATGGAGAGGAGCACCTCAAACCAAGTAAGACATATTGACCTTTGGCTCATTCGGCGTACGCCCTTAATTCCCTTCCCCTTAGTGTCCGAGTGCTTGACGCTCCTGATTGAGATCCATCCAATCAACAACACCAAGGTGTTAAAGGCGGTGGACTGCAGGGTCAAAGTGCAGGTCAGAACGGGCGAAAAGCGGCGAGGACCGCGGCCTTCGTCACGTATCTTGAAATACCCCTTCTCGCTTTTTGGGTTTCAGTTCCTCCATCCTGAAAGTGAGCGCAGATCAGTGCACGAGAGCCACCTGCTGCTGTTGACTGAAGATGGATGTGAGTCGATTTTTTTTTTCCCCCATCTGGGTGGAGGACTGAAGTTTAGGCAGCTTAAGAGGTGGCTCACGAGTGGAAAGATCTTGATGTGTTTTTTTTTTTTTTTGTGCGCGCGCTTCAGATGTGGATCAGTACCACGTCCTGCTGACCCGACACGAAGGCTACAAAGTGGTGAGATGAACTCCGCGTGCCATCAAAGCACACCTTTCCCGGTGATTCTGAAACACGTTTGACATTTATTTTTATTGACCGTATTTTCCGCAGTTTAAATATAAAGCCGTATTGTATTGTATTCCCTTAAGCGTAGCACCATCTAGTGAATGCACAACGCAACTGCAGCCACTATTGGAGCTTCTATTCAATGCGCCTTATAATGTGGTGCGCCCTATATATGAAAACAGTTTTAAAGTAGGCCATTTATTGATTTATACTCCAAAGTATCTGTACTTCTCCCTGCTATTCTCCAAACCCCAGAAAAAATTTTTTGCGTTACTTCAGAAAAGTCGGTAATACGGCCCCCCCGTCTGTGCAATTACGGTGGGGGGGGGGG